TCTGTGCAATGGGTATTTATTTCGTCGATAGGGGAGGGTTTTCTTGGACTGTGCACTTTCAGACAAGTGTGCCTGTGCTTTTCTGTTTCTTTAACAGGTTTCGGAGAAGAATCAGTGGGGAGAGATTGTTGAAGAGTTCAACTTTCCCAGAAGTTGTTCTAACGCTGCCTTTGCTTTAAAACAGTATTACTTGCGGTGAGTAGCATGGTGACTCTTGCACAGTCTTTGGAAATAATGGACTTGATGAGATTTTTGGGAGAGCCTGGTGTTTAGCACAAACCAACCAACCCAAAACAAAAGCAAAAAGACCTTGCACACAATACAGGTGAATTCAATTCATTTCCATCTGAGAAACAGATGTCAATAAAGTGGGATTGGAGAAAAGGTGGGCCTTTACCTCACCTATTTTTAGATGGTTTGCATTTTTCATGCAAAATGTTTACAGGTGACACCCCACCCCATCTTGGTAAACATTCTTTTGTGACGATGTTGTTGACTGGTTGATATATCCATAGTGGGGTGGAAAAGTGATGCTTTGTAAGAGAGTTCAAGATAGTTAATAAAACTTTGTATCCCTTGGGGAATTTTTGCTCCCTTTCTTTTGGAAGCTCCTTCACCTTTTCATGACTTTGAGAATTAAAAAAAGAAGGAAATCTTTTCTAGTATGCTATGTTACTGAGTAGTTGTTAAGTATAATAGTTCTACATAACATGAGTGCCTTAGGGGATTGAGATTGATGTTCAAACCATTTTTCATTGATTTTTGAGTGATTTAAAACGTTGCAAAATATTTTATCTTTAGGAAAATTTGGGATACTTGAAAACAGGTTACATGAAATGTGCTTTGGATTTTCTTTTACTCCTTTTCTTGACTGCTTATCCGACAAAATAAATTTCTCGGTTATGTGGTACTTTTTAGATAATATATTCTGTGATTTAGTATGTTGGCTCCACCCCCACCCCACCTCCAGGTATATTTAAACGTTGTAATTTATTGTGAGGTCTCCATTTATTTTTAATGTTTATCTACTCATGTAGAGCCCTTACTCTGTGATGGTCATTTAAAACTAAAATAATATTCTTTGTGCTTGTCTGCTTTGTGAGACTGCTGTTATTGCATGGCCTTCTCCTATAATGTGGCTTCTACATGATTTGAATTTTGCATTTATTGTTGCTCAAAATGCACACAGTTATTCTGTGTTGTGTTCAGCATTCTGAAATAGGAAATGCAGTAATGGCACAGGTGCACTTTCTATTGGCTCGCTTAGATTGGCTTCAGACTAGAAGCTGAAGAGTTGACAAAACTTTGTGGAGTAGTTACTGAGTTAGAGGTCCAGAAATCTTAAGCATGGTTTATTGCTATCTATTTATTCTGTGATGGTATGTGTGTCTGGGTATGTTTTTAAATAGAGGACTGAATGAAAACCAAACCAAAATTAATCTCCAGAGCCCTTGATTTAGCAGCGATGTGGGGGAGAGGTACAGATTGATAGGTTTTTGTGTTTATGGTGGCATCCAATGTGCTCGTCCCTTGTACAGTTACACTCTTGAGAGGAATGCTGCCAAAGAAATGGCACCATCCCTCTCCTCCCTCGATGGTAGTTTGAACCATTTTGTTGCTAATACTAGATAGATTAATTGATTGAACTCTACTATCTTAAAAGGGCTTTATATATGGTGTACATGGTTAATAAGATACTGTAGATATTTTTTTTTCTAGAAAAATTTACATTCATGCTGACCAAAGGTCTTAAAATAGTCCACCCAGTGCCTAGATTTCTAATTTTTTACACAAGTTAATCATGAATATTGTTTTCCACATACAGGTTTTATCTTGAGACATAGCATGCATTGATTATAGTTACTCTGTTGACTATATAATGTAAAAGCTCTTTGCAACTACAGTATTTGCATTACCCTCAGATCAGTTTGGGCTTTAGGCTCTTATTAGAAGCTGCTCTTGGAACTCTGTCCTTAGCCAAACTTGTTTTTCCTCCATATGTCACTCTCCAGGTTTGTGTTTGTACAGTTGTAGCTAGGTTACTAGGAAAAAAAGTTGAAGCATTTGTTTTGGAAAATAAAACCATGTGAAGATTTGCATGGCTTGTAAGGAAATATAAAGGAATATACTGGTCAAAAATTGGGTACTGCCAGTCTTGAGAGAAGTTTTCCCTAGTGGTGTAATGTTGCACAGAGAGCATGTGTTGTGCTGGGTTTTACACCTCCCGCTGAAAAATCTTAACTTGCAGACAGGATGCCAACGTCAACCAGCAATTGTATTACTTAACCAGAATGCCTCTTCTTTGTAAGAAATAGTCATCAAGTGACTTTGTAAGTTACCTCTTTGTCCCCTCCAATTGAGTATCATAGTTTCTGATGATCACAGAAGGCAGTATTTGTAAGTCACAGATGGAATCCTTTATGTTTTAAATGTTAGCCGCTTTTTCATTTGACCTGTTGTAAAACTGTGATTATGGTTGGAATATATGTTAGTTCTCATTGATCCTACAAGTCTAATATTTATAACATTCCCCTGTAATTTTACTATTAATTGGATGAATGGCTCTTCACCTAGTATTTTATGATACTTCTTCATACTATCCCAAACACTTAAATAAGGAATTGAAACCTAAAATGCTGGCCATGTATATGTTCAAACATTTTTCTGTTTGCTTTGGTATAAACACAGGCAGGGTCATTAAATGTGGAGTGTTTAGTGGTCTGCCAAAAGTTAGCTGATTGTGTGAAAACATGAGTTTACTCATTGTTTACAGACAGTTTTAAAAGTCTAATATTAATAATGCTGATGATTATTTAACATTGGAATTTAATTTTAAATTGTAAGTGCCAGCTGATAACATGTACTCTATTTAAAAATGGAATATTAGTCATCTCTGATGTCTGTATATTTTATTTTCATTTAGTTTCTTTTTGGCATATATATACATACATATATACATATATATATATATATATATATCTATATATATCACTGTGTTCTACAAATGTTTATTAATAGAATATTCCTCTAAGTTTACAAGGATAAGTTATAATTTACCACAATTTGTAGATGGAGAAATTATTGTGCAAACAATACTGAAAGCTTTAGGGGCATTCTTTAATGGAACCAGAAAAAACAAATGCCTTCATGACAGGTCAGCTTGTTAGTTACATTACATAGTTATATTTGAGCCCAAGCTTACCCTGTGCCCAGTGTGTTCCATGTTTATACAGTGGGTGCTTTTTGTTTTGTTTTATTGTTTTACTATTTTAAGGCTAAAGTAGGAGAGCAATTTATTAATATTTCAGTTAATTTGAAAGTTTGGTATGACGTTTAGGGACACGGAGGTGAAATGAACATTTAAAATTTTATTTCACATACTTACCTGGCAGGGGAGATACCATGATCATGAAGGTGGTTTTCCCAGGGCGAGGCTTATCCATTGCACTCCGGATGTGCTGACCCCTGCGATTTCCCCAAATGTGGGAAACTCGACTGCATAATTTGTGGTAGTGGGGGACTGCGTTCGCGCTCTCCCCTGATGTGTTTATTAAAGTCAGATATTTGCCTGAGGGGGGGAAAAAAAATTATTTCATAATGCAACTTATTACTTGTATTTGGGCACCGTGGTATTTTTTGCATTTTGTCTTTTGTTTTTAATGTACTGAACTACTTTAGGCTGAGGGCAATGATGACCAGTGGTAAAATTCTTAGTTTTCCTGTGGTAGGCCAATCAACGAACCTCCAGTGCAGTCAGCTGCTGTTCATCTGTCAGGGCAGGTTGGCAGTTGCTGTGATGCTGAAGTGGAGCTTCTAGCATAAGTCTAGAAAGAAAGGTCTGGCAACATTTAGCTATTGTGTCACCGTTGTCACAGTGATTTTACCCTGTTCTACATGGAGTTGGCATGAGAGTATGTGCGTCGGGGGTGAGGGCTTGTACTACATACACATCAGGAACCTTTAGAATAGAAATCTTGTAGTAGCATTGCCACCCACCGTTGTAAATCTTCAAGTGCATTGTAAATTTATTTATTTTTTCTTGGTGGATTTAAAAACAACATAGAAACTTAGCAGTTGTCTTGGAGTTGATTCCCACTCACACAGCTTGTGTGTTCCAGAGTAGAACTGCTCGTAAGTGTGATCTTTTAGAAATGGGCTGCCAGGTCTTTCGTCAGTGCTGCCGCTGGCTGGGTGGGTTTGAACTGCCCTTTAATATATAACCAGTAGAGGGAATCTATATGAATCATTTACATGGAGTGAAATATCCTGATAGTAGTATCCACCATGTCAATAAGTTATTTTAAGAGTAATCTTGAATTACTCGAAATTATTGTTCAGAAATTGTAACAAATAAGTAAATCAGTTAAGACATTGAATTGTGAATCGTTAAATAGCACTGATAAATCGCACTCCTTGTTCAAGAAGGGGAAACAAAGTATGGAGACTAGAAGCAATTATATCTGAGTAAACTCTTCGTATATATTTTGTATGCATACTTTTATAAATTGTAGCCTTTGGAACAAAACCTGATTTTGATGTCTTCTGATATTATTCTGTTACATTTTAAAGGGCATGCAGAGTTTGTTGACAGGAGGAATAAGAAGTGGGGGAAGCAGAAAGACTCATCAAAACTTAGCTAGGATAGTGTCAGTGTGCTAGTAACCATGTGTTGGTACTAATACAAAACTGCTTAAATTTGTCTCCAAATAGAATTAACTTAGTATAGAAATAACTTTAACTTTTCCCAAGATAGATAATTTTGTATATCACTAAGGATACAAACTAAAGACTGCTTCTAACTCACCAATATCTTTAAATGTCTTTTTACATTAAAAATTTTTCTCTGTTGTATATTCAACATTTTCATAGCTGGTAGTGACATCAACTCTTTGATAGAAAAATATATCATATGATGGATCCTTTATATTCCAAGGTGAAATGTGAAAATTTGGGAAAGGAAGGGAAAAACAAAATTTTTTATTTGTTGTAATTTTGAAACAGTAGGAAAATTACTGAGTTTTAACTTGTTTTGTGATGACTACTTGCTGGACATTTTTCAGAGTGGTATCTATAGGCCTTCCTAAAATTTAATGGTCCACTGAGGTTTGTCTGATTAAGAACTACAGAGCATGTGGGGCAGGGGTGAATGGAGAAGAAAGATTTGATTTTCTTTGTGTCTTTGACTGGCCAGCACC